ACTTTTAATTTTTTGTTGGGTCAATTCGTCAAGGGCCATTCGAAAATGACTTGTGATTTGAGTCAGTCAGTATGGCTCGACGACATGAGCAAGCTCGGGCCGATGCCCCAAAATGGGGCTTGGCCCAAGCCTCAGCTTGGTTGAATCGAGCCACGAGTTGGGCCGGCTCGGACTTTTTCTAGGCCGAATCATGGGTCGCCCGTGTCAACGAGCTAAATTGACATCCCTAACCTCTCGCATGCAAAGCCAGCGCTCTACCATTTGAGCTACATCCCCCAATTGACATTACTAATAACTCTTAACACAATTACCATGACTCAACACGCTCTGCATCGCAACAACTCGTGTTGATTATATGCCATGGGGAATCAATCCTCTCACTCACCCCAAGCCACAGAAATTTTAAGCATCCTTGAAGGAAATCTACAAGTTGGCTTCATCATTTCAATCCCCAAGAATCACCACATTACTAAGGTGCTTCAAAATGGCAATGTGTTTGTTTTCCGTGTTAGGCTAATTCACTACCAACGCAATGTTGGATATGGAAATGCAGTTGCTATTACCTGTCCAGGCAGTTCATAGTTCTTCTCCACAGATGAGCTCGTCTTTGCTGTTTCCAATTCTTGTTCGTAATCAAGAGCAATGTAGGCTAACTTCTCTTTTATGTCCCTTACTATTTCACGCTCTGCTGATGTGGTGAAAGAGTAGCCTCTCTCAGTCAGTATCTTCATGAGGTTATCAGTGAGGTCACGCCCCGCCAGATCGAGACGCAGGATCGCATGCGGAAGGGCATAACCTTCATAGATAGGGACTGTGTGGCTTACACCATCCCCAGAGTCGAGAACAATTCCTAACAATTACAACAAAAAAGTTAGGTTTCTGCAAATAGAGATATACTTTAACAGATTTTAGAGAAGTTTTATTATTTGTTAGGCTTTAAATACTAGCTGGGAAATTTTTGTGTCATATCAACTGTAGTTTCATTTGTTGGCTTCTGAGGCTGATTGCAGTTGATAGTGGCATAGTGCATAGATATAATACATACAATGCAAGAACCTGTAAGTAATGAGCAATCCAACAATATATCTTTGGTCATTTCTCTAACATATGTTTAGTACGTAGTATTGGATTGGCATTGATAGTTTAAAGGACAAACAAAATGAGAGATTTGTTTTGCACATGGAGTTAGTGTACTGAAATCCGTAAACTATCAAACAATAAAAAACACAGCACTCCTCTATGTGCTCGAAGTGCATATTCATTTCGACATATTTTTCCAATGAGACTATTTTCAGGGGGAAGGGATGAACTTCTGAAGAATTAAGTTGAAAGGGTATCATTATGCAATTGGAAAATAATCTGTTTCCATTATACCAAACATGACATGTCTGTGCTTAATAGGAATGCTGAAAACACAGTCTCTGATATTCATTACAGGTATCGATCCAACCGATAATTTTAACCTCACGAATTGCATTTATGTATAGAGGATTGATTGCATTTCCTTACCCGTTGTACGACCACTGGCATATAGGGAAAGAACGGCCTGGATGGCAACATACATGGCAGGGGTGTTAAATGTCTCGAACATGATTTGAGTCATTTTTTCACGATTGGCCTTGGGATTGAGAGGAGCTTCGGTCAATAGAATTGGATGCTCTTCTGGAGCCACGCGAAGTTCGTTATAGAATGTATGATGCCAAATTTTCTCCATATCGTCCCAATTGCTAACAATTCCATGCTCAATTGGGTACTTCAATGTCAAAATACCTCTCTTTGATTGAGCCTCATCTCCAACATAAGCATCCTTTTGGCCCATGCCAACCATTACACCAGTGTGTCGAGGTCGTCCCACAATGCTGGGAAAGACGGCCCTTGGAGCATCATCTCCAGCAAAGCCAGCCTGACAATTTTGAGATCAAATAATAATAACAAACTAATGCATTTCATGAAGGACATCTAGCACTCAAATTAATTTATCAATGCAAGTATCAGAATAGACGTTAGATGGTTACCTTAACCATTCCTGTTCCATTGTCACACACAAGAGGCTGAATATCCTCACCTTCCGCCATCTCTTAATGCTCTCTATGGGGGAAAAAGTTAGTTTAAATGAGAAAAGTTGATTGATAACTGTAAACACAAAACTCTACATCCAGTGTCAAACCAGAATGAAGCCTAACATTTCGTAAAAAAATGATTAGATCTAAAATAATGGCACCCAATGACGAGTCCTCAGATTAAAAAAATTTGCAAAATTTTATTCTTGAATACGAGGATTAATTGAATGAATGACAAACCTTAACAACGGCAAATCCGTCTGAAAAAGCATATATACAAATCAATTGAGCCAATTTATGCACCAGATTTACAATACAAAGTGATTTTAAGATTGCAATACTACCAAAATAACAACTAATCAAGTCTTGTTTGCAACAAGTTTGGAGTCAACCACAAGTCTCTTTTCCAGTATTGCATTCGGAATAAAAGATTGCACAGCTAAATTTCGATAATGTTATCCTAACAAAGAAATGACACATGAATTTCAGAAACTTAAATAAGATCAAAAACTCAAACATCGTGCAAAAATGATAAAAATATGCCAAATCTCTTTGCAATCTAAGACCAACAAATTGCCTTCGAAGGATAAAGACATTGGCTTAATAGCGGCGTAGGTGCTCTGATTTCAAGATATACTTATTATTAGTTAATTAGCATCTCTTATCATGATTAGGACAGTAATTCCAATCAAATGTATATACATTATAGATCAATCAACATAGGCAAATTCCACTCTAAATTATGCAGTTTGAAGAAAATTTTCCAAATCAATTTCTGATAACATCCCAATTAAATATAAGTACGCAAAACAAATTTGCACAAATTGTAGTTGATCATTCAAATAACCATTTGCAGATCCTTGGATCAAGATCCATTAAAAGAGTAAAAAGATAGACAGATTAAAAAGAAAAAGAGAAAATCGAAATTAAGTAAAGAGATAGAAACCCACATTACAAGATTCAATCTTCTCTTGAAATGGAGATAAAAATCAAATCTTTATGACGAAAAAATGAGAGAAAACCAAATATTAAACAAATTTTGTAACTTTTGAGGCCTTCTTGAAAATGGGTCTCTCTCTCTTTCTTTAGTTAACAGAATTTGTCTCCCGCAAAAGCCTCTGATTTTCTTTTCTCTAGAACGGGAAATAAAATTGAGCCCCAAATGCAGTTCTGCATAAATGGACCTCAAATTCATTCGTTTGAAGATTTTGGCCGTTGGTTTTTGTGGTTTGAATCGCATTAAATGGAGGATAGCTGGCTGGCTTTTGCATTATTTTCTGCTTTGAGGACAAATGTACATATATAGAACCAAATTGGGAAAAAAATGTATGAATTAGAGTTTCTCGAAGGGACATAGCATTTCACAATGGTGTATATTTGCACAGAAAATCTTCTCTTGACACGATTTCTATCCAAGTCTAATTCTCAATTTTCTATTTGGTGATTTCTAAATTAAAATAATTTGCTTTAAACTGATTCTTTTATATTCATGTATTAACTATTAATCCCTTGTTTGATGGGGATTAAAATCGAATTTTTAATAAATTTTGATAGATTTTGAAGAAATATGTGGTTGAAAATTTGTGGAATTCATAAAACATGTTGTTGAAATTAATGGTTGATTTTGACTTAAATTAAAATTTAGATTTTAATTGGTATCAAACAGGGTGTAACTCCAAAATGTTTACTCGTGCAATTATGTTTGGTAATAATATGATTTGATGGCAAAAATCATATTCAAAATTGAGCTTGAATAACATAATCTCTTTCTAATAGTATGAGCTGACATAGCATAATCTAAACCTTTGTAGCTCAGTTTTCTCATTTACATTAAACCTTGCAGTATTAACTGTTATTTTCAAGGGATTCTGCATTTGCCTTTGCATTTGTCATTCAAGAATCAAGCCATAAACTATGCATATTATTCACTACCTCTGTTGTTAATGAATCATTATAGAGCATATCTCCTTCTCTTGCCTGCAAACAAGATCATTTGAGCTTCTTTTGATTGCAATTGCCCAGTTATTTCATATTTCTTTTACCAGCGATCACACTCAGAACATCTCTATTTGAATAAACACAATATTAAACATTTTTGAGTTTTAATCGGATTGAATTGCTCATTGGAACTTAACTAGTTTTGATATCATGTTAAGATTTTGAGTTCCATCTTAAAATGTTAATTTTTTTAAGAGGAGTAACTCAAATCCTTAAATGTTAATATGTATTTATGTATTTAACCGATGTGGGAGTTATCCCTTAACATTATTAAGATTTGGATTCTATCTTAAAAATGTCAATCTTATTAAAATGATTTATCTTTTAATATGCACTCTCAAGATGATAGCTCTTTTGAACTAGTCAATCTTGAAATTCATATACTCATTTTTTGAGTTTAGGATAGCTCATTTTCTTGAAATTCATGTGCTCATTTGAACTAGTCAATCGAATTGCGTGTGCTCATTTTTTGAGTCTTAAGATGATCGATTTATTCGTTGGAGTTTAATAGGCTCTCACACCATGTTAAAATTTGAAGTTCAACTTAAAAGGTTAACCTCATTAAGAGAAGTAACTACATCCTTTATAAATTAGTTTGTGTTTTCATTTTTATTCGATATGAAATTTTATCATTTATTTGTCCCTTTAGGCATTGCGGTTTATTTGACACCCGATTTTAACTGTGAACTTAGATTTATTTTGACAGTAAGTGTTAATGTGAAAATAAGTAAATCTTTTACTTTGCTCATGTTCAGTACTAATTAAAATCTAGATTTTAATTTAATTTAAGTCAACGATTAATTCTAACCACATATTTTATGGGCCTCACAACTTTTCAACTACACATTTCATCAACTTTTATCAAAATTTACTAAAAATCTTATTTTAACCCCAACAAACAGAGGCTTAGGATGTTGAACATGTTTAGAAACAATATTTTAAACGTTAAATCTTATTTACTTTTAACCTTGACCAAAAATATGCTCTTTATACATTTATTGGCGTTGCGATATACTTTTACTGGACACGATGGATTCATGTAATCTTACCATATTTCATATATTTTGTGCTCAAAATGCAAATAACAAGGGATACAGTTGGAGTACCTGAAGTCTTTACGAGACTGTATCCGGCTCCATCTCCCGTGAAAGAACCAGTAACACAGTATGAGAGTTGAAGATCTTGTTTATACAACGAAGAAGCTGCAAGTTTTCCGTCTGTCTGATTCACATTGTAAATTCTGAATAGAATTATTTGACCCAGTCCCCACCTGCCCGGATTATGGTAAAAGGAACTACTCAAAATATCCCATTTCTTTCTTTATTCTCTTTTACTGAGTAAAACTAATTGGTCATCGAAGAATTGGTAAAACTTTCCATTTTAGTAATTGCAAGTTATAGTGACTGAGGAGAAGTGGTTGATGTGAATAACAACTAGTAAGGGTTGTTATTGGAGTTGGTATGAACCCCACATTTTCATATTACTGCGTGCAAACATTGTTCACATATGTTTTTGGACGTAGAAAATCTCCAGCTTCACAATAGGATTGATCATCAGCATATGTACCGTTGAAAACTATAAATTTGAATAACTTTTTACGAATATCTTGTTCATATTTGTTTTTATCAAGTAGAAAATCTCCTGCTTCATAATATGATCGATCATCAGTGATACATGAGTAAGTTGGGCTGCTGATGTGAGCTAGACTTTAAGCGTCACCACATCTCAAAGCTTTGCCCCCATCCCTCACCGGAACGCATTCACTTCTTTAGTTCTTTATTGCTATTCCGGTAACAATATTATCTTACAATGTTTTACTGGAAAATCACAGGTTAGATTTGTACTCAATTAATTTACTAATAAACACCCGGTTCGTGGCAGATATCTAGATGACAAACATAGAGAATCTTAAACAAATTAATGGAAGATTCATTAGGTTCATCGTTACTTTAGTGAAAGATTCAGATCTTCTGTAATCTCCATTGCATCAAGTGGATCAATAAAAGACGTCTGTTAGCATTTCAGCATTCCTTCTTTTTTCAGGACTTGTTCGAGAGTGGAAGGAAGTCTCCACGAGTAGGTAACAACCGGCTCTATTGACTTTAACAATTCATGTAAATTTTGTTTATTACATTAGATTTTAGATATATCTTTCTGGCCAAGAATCATTAATTAACTGCGACTTGTCAATAAAATATGTTGTTAACGTGGACTTAAGGTTGTCTCTAAGTCAATGTTTATCGTAATTGTTAACCTAAAAACTTGGGTTTTGTTTATTGGTAGTGTAGGTGAATGCATCTAATATATTTTCATTCAGTCATGTGTTCACTTGATTGCTATATCTAATATATATATTTGGTTGTCACTGTTAAACACGTCAGTGCAAACCATCGAATTCATTTTAAAATTCATGGATGAAAAGTGAGAGCGTGGTGATGGTGTGTGAATGAATTTGTGGTAGGATATATTAATTTCGAAAGTCGTGTTGATATCAAACATTTTGCAATAGCTCTTATATGCTCTTTATTTGCTTATTATTTTTATATATAAGTGATAACGAGATTTTACTTTTGACATGTTCCTGCAAAATAGTGGGGTTCATTTGAGAACATGATACTCGTTTGAATGACACTATTCAGTCATGAATTTTTTTTCTTAAAAAAGTTGGATCAAATCTTTATATGTAAAGACTCCCGAATCTATGCTTATTTTCAACTCCCCGATATTCCATCGGTTATCAAGTCTTTCATCATCTTTGGGTGCCTAGACATTCACCATAAACATTTCCTCGCTTAAACATTGCCCTTACAAAGCTATGCCATCCTAGGTGCTGCTAAAAGAATGGATGTTATCAACGTTATGAATAATAAGTCGAATTTGAAAAATTTAGTGTTTACAGTATTAAATAATATGAAAGTTTCATCCTAGACTCACATCATACGCTGCATCAGTTATGCACAGGGGCTGGCCTAGCATCCGATCGAGCCCCCGCGGCAGCTCGTGCTGGATCCGTCGGGAACCTTTTTTTTTTTGACAATAGATAAATTGTTTAGCTTATATAATTGTTATTTCATTTCATTTTCAAATGCCACCTTTAGTTGAGTTTGTTAGAGCTTGCAATTCTTATAAGATGTCTCTGATTTGATTCCCTAGCTTGCAATTTATATATTTTTAGTTCTCCAATTTTTACCATTTTACCATTTTTACCAAAATTAATGGTAATAGGGAGTGGGGAGTCGAACCCGTGACTATCCTTAAAAATTATTGGAATCCTTACAATTAGGGCACTTGTTGAGTTTGATATTATTGTTAAGATAATAATATATATTAAGTTTTAATAGTTTTAATGTAATTGTAAAAATTCGAACTCTTCCTTTGAATTATAAGTTGGGCACAATGTCTTTTGGTGAGTATTTTTAACTTGTATAAAAAATTATTTTGTTCAACAATTTGAACAAAATAATTTTTATATTTAAATTTTAGGCTTTAATTCCCTTTTTTTTTTAAAAAAAAATACATTTTTCTCTCTTCTTTTCAATTACACAATCTTCAATAAAATAATATTACACGTAAATTCAAAATTTTTTCTTATTTTTAAACACACATTCTCCATCAAATCAATATTCTAAAATATATTTTTTTACAAAAATGGGCATCAAATGAACTCTTAATATTTTATTACTATCGACAGCCAACGGTCATCCGTGCTGATTTAAAACTCTGGATCCGCCCTTGGTTATGCATGCATTTTCTTTCCTTTTTCTCCTTTGGTCCCTTCATATTTAGTGCTCTTTATGCCATTTTCTCCTTTGGTCCCTTCATATTTAACTTGGATAATTACGGAGAATGACTTGTTGCGAACATAAAGCAACTCTTGCAAGAAAAGAAACATATTTTTAAATAGGTCCTGTAAATTTCTACCTTGTCCCCCGAAACTACATTTATTGTGCGTGTGATAAATCTGTCTTTAAGACCGAGATGCAAGAGAACTAGTCAAAAACCAACTCATACTAGAGAGATCTAATGACCCATCAGTTCAACCAATATCTCCACACTCGGGTTCTTTGATCAGATTGATGACCGGGTTGAGTTTTATAAAGAAATACTAAGGTGGTCCAACAAATTAAAAGATGGAAACAAAAATTATTTGCAAAGTCCAAGTCGAAAAGTTTGAGATAAAATAAAACATTATTAGTTCAGTTGCTTCAAAAACATCCAAATGGACCATATCTAAATTTTCTTGATAAAATAAATGAAAAATGCGAAAACAGATGAACAAGAATTAAGAAACATATATGTATCAATTAGTCTTTTCTATTTGCAGTAGAACTTGGAAACTATTATTAGCTAACCCTTAAGAACTCAGAAACATGGAATTAGAATGACTATCAGTCAAATAACTCTTCAAAGGTACACCTTTTCAAGTTGATCAATCTGAGAAGAACCTTCAAAAGGTAAGAATAATGGAAACTGATTAATATCTTGCATGAAACCATCGAATTCTGAAAAACCACATAAGAAATCAGCGTCAGTATTCGAGTTTCTCCATATCTCTTCCTCAACCTTGATTCTCTCTTTGAACCCTGAACCCTGAAATCCATTTTTCATAGCCAGTTCCATTTTCTCGGCCAAAATCCTTGGATCTTCTACATTTCTTGGACAACTTTTCTTGTTGCATGATCTGAGCTTTTCTGTGGGTTTTCCAGTGAGTCTTTGGACTAATTCTCTGAAGTTTGCAGCATCGGTCTTGATAATCTCTGGTGCAAATATGTGAATTATACGAATTTTTGGCTTGATTTTTGATATTTTTTGTGAATTCTTGTGCATTCCTAGTGCTGCTGATGGTGTTTTGTTTATAATACAGGTTTGTTTTTGAAGCATCGCCTCCATATTTTGCATCAAGCTTAAAAAAATACAGGTAACTAGAGAGAGAAGGAGAATAATTCTTAAAAATTAAAAGAGAGAAAATGGATTATATATAGGTGAAGAGAAGGCAAAAAATTTTAAACATATGACAGCAGAGAAAATTTTAAATAGAAAACAATTAAGCTGTCTAGTGAGGCAAGGATTAGATGAACCCTACTTTTGACATACTGGAGAGAGGGAGTCGAGTATAAAACTCAATGGTCCCCAATTCCCCTTGTCATAGTCACATGTATGAAGATAATGTCTTTATTAAAATGTTTGAGAGTCCTTTGATATGCAGAATTCAGGATGATTGAATTTTAGTTTATTCTGAATCGAACTTATCGAACATGCCAATAGGGCCTTCAAGTTCTAACTAGAGATTAATGATAAAATGTCATTAGTGCATCTTGTTGTAAGCTATAGAGCAAAAGTACGTTAGCATGTTTGAGTCTTTTTTTTTTTTGTTAGAATGCATTTTGAAGTAGTAGATTGATAAGTATATATAATTAAAAAATAAGAAAAAATTTTGAATTTGCGTATAATATTATTTTATTGAAAAATCTTTGATCCAAAAGAAAAGGAAAAAAAAAATGTATTTTAAGAAAAAACAAATGCATATATAAATAATGTACAGTACATAAGAGAGATCCGTCCCGGCAAAAAATAATAATCGTCGGATCCTCACGTGGATGTCAGAGATCCGTATCATCACGAAATCCTTCAGGCTCAGTCTAAAGCCTATTAGGCCCAAAGGATCTTATCTTACGTCATCCTAAAATCCCACACAAGGGCCTGGTGTGCCGGCCCACATAAGCCCCACGAGTGATTGGCTCTACAAGTAACATGGGTATGCTCTTCTAACATGCACAATTTTTTTATAATTGAAAGATTTATTTAACTTTTTTATTAGCCAAAATTTTCTAATACAAATAACACATTAAATTATTTAGTTAAAAGCAATGTCGTTAAAATTTGGTTGGACCAACCGGTTGGATCAGAAAAAAATTGAAAGCCAGTTCGAAATTTGGTTTGGTCAGTGGACAAAACTGTTTGACACGAACGAGTTTTTCTCATACGAGTCTTCACATTTCACAAGCAAACATGGTAAGCGAGTTCATTATTGTGCCATATAATTTCAATATCTCAATCCAATGGTTGGTATTCATATCAAGTGGTATCGAGCGAAACGTGATCCTTAAATTCACAACGACTAGTATCAGATATTATGAGCATAATTAATACAACAAGTGGTATCAGAACAATTCTGATATCTTATTTGTTTCACAACATCCCGAATAGAAGAACCCAAAAAGAATTCTCTTATATAGATAAATCTTGGTCTCCAAAAGCATTTTTTATATCCTGAGCTAAAAATAATTCACATTTCTCATCATTCTAAGAACTAACCCACTAACAAACACAAAAACCTCTACCTGATTTACTCACATTTTCATACTAATCAAACAAATTAAGTTTCAGAATCCAAATCATAACACAACGCCTATTACATATGCATGTACATACACATACATTATATATGTTATGTTGTGATGAGTAGGAGGATTCCCTCCCTAAGAATACACTGTGACTGTTGGGCCATTGGTGTTGCAAGTTTTCCGGGGGGGGGGGGGGGGGGGTAAAAAAAAAAAGGAAAAAAAAAAAACTTAGCCGAGCCAAGCCAGCCGAGCCGAGCCGGCTCCTTATGAATAATGCTTAGGAATAGTGCTTAGGAATAGTGGCTATGAATAGTGAAAACTTCCTTCACTCTTTTAATATAGGTAGAAAATCTTGGTCTCCAAAAGCATTTTTTATATCCTCAGCTAAAAATAATTCACATTTCCCATAATTCTAAGAACAAACCCACTAACAAACACAAACCTGTTTGAGCCCCATTTTTTTTCATTCCATTACATTAATTTTTTTTCTCTTCATCTCAACCACACATTCTCAAATAAAATAATATTACACACAAAGTTATACCACTGGTTTACAACTTTGTTATTTCAGACACAGTCCAAAAAACAGCTGACGTCGTTAGTTGTCTTTTCATTTTTTGATCCGCTAATTTGTTTCTTGTCTGTATGTCGACCATAGAGCTGAAAGTTTCTAAGTTATTTCGAATTTACAAAAAACTAATTTATTTTTTCGAATTTAAATTAAGTGACGGTAGAAGTTCCCTGAAGTGTATATTAATCCCCTTTTGAGTCCTATGTATTAAGATGTTCCTTAAAAATAAACAAAATCCTAAATAACTGGTGGGCTGTTCAAATGCTACGAGGTCGCTTAACCATTAAAAAACCACCTTCAAATTCTATCCTGCTTAAAACCACTACGTTTTGCCACATATATCTTTCTGCATGACACGTGTTTAAATTGGACGAATGTGTGAATACGTGTCATCATCATATCTGGCTCTTCGTCGGTATATATATAATGTATAAGACCTGCATGCTGTTTATTCATTGAAATCTGTTCTTTTCTTACAAAGGAGTGAATTCTCAGGAAAAGTAAAATGCAATCCATGAAGGAAACTGCAGCCAATGTTGCCGCCTCGGCCAAGTCTGGCATGGAGAAAACTAAGGCTGTTGTGCAAGAAAAGGTATTGTTGACTCATTTGGTTAACTCAAATCTAAATTAATTTCCGTTTGGCCCTATTAAAATTTTAATTCATTTTTTTCTCTCAGCCACGTATCCTCCAATAAAATAATATTACATATAATTCCAAAACTTTTTCTTCTTTTTCAACCATACATTATTAAAAAAACACTATTACAACCATTAAAATTTCAAATAATGGGGTCAAACGGGCGTGAGTTAATTAGATGCCTTCTTCAATAAGAGAAAGGAACACGAATGAGACGACAGTATGTTTTGTTCATCCTATCGTATCGAAATGCATTAGATTGAATAAGAGAAAGTCACACAATGTTACATTCAATTTACTATACCAGGCATTCGAGTGAACATTAGATTGAATACGAATTTGTCGACACTACATTTTGTTCAATTCACTGTACCAAACATTTTAGTACTTTTTTTTTATTGTAGTTACGTTACTACTGTATTTGTTTTGCTTTTCATTGTGTTATAATCTTTAAATTTGCTTCTGTAATCTGTTAGCAAAGTAGTTCTAATTCGCTAAGAATATCGAACACATCAAAGAATAAGTTTCCTCTTTAATGACTAGTTCTATCTATTTCACCTTTCCAATTATAATGGTTTTGAAACTATATAACTTGGTTATATTTGATATATGTTATTTGATGCAACTGAATAGATGGAGAGAATGACTGCAAACAATCCGACTGAGAAACAGATGGCAACGGAGAAGAAGGAAGAAAAAATCGACCAGGCGGAGCACCACAAGCAGGAGGCTCGTGAGAAGAACGCCGCCTCGAGTCAGGTGGCAAATGCTGGTGCGACGCACTCCTATTCGACAACTGGAGAGACCGGACAGCCTACTGGAAGTTACCAAATGTCAGCGCTGCCAGGTCATGGCAGTGGGCAGCCCATGGGACAGGTGACTGAGAGCATCATTAAGTCTCATCCTATTGGGACTGCCACCGGAACTGGGAGGCCGACCACCGCACATAACACTCATGTAGGTACTGGCGCCAATAAAGGATATGGCACTGGTGGTGCTTATAGTGGTTAGGCAAAAAAATGTGTCGAAACTTCTATGCTGTAATGGTGGCACAGATCAGGGCATTTTTGTTGTGTATTTTTCGAATTTAATAAAGTATAGCAGTACGCTTTCGAAACTTGACAGAACTCCCAAGAACTATGTTAAATTGGATACCTCAAGACATTTTGCTGCCTGTAAATGTACCTAATGAATTATATAGTATAATGTGTAGGGAAAATGTTGGATGAAAAAATTGATTATGTTTTAAATTGGTAAATGATAAAGCATGTGATATTATGTAATCCATTATATAAATATTAACGTAAATGTAGTAAGATCCTACCTCAAGACTCAGCTACATCTCAAAAATTCCTTTGGTCCATTTGATTGTGAGAGTGGAATTTGGGTGGAAAAAAATGAATTTTAGGGAATTGAATTGTCTAGAATTGTTTTTTTTTTTTAGAATTGTCAATTAATTATGTTTGATTAGTAGAATTTTTCACGTGAAAAATGTTGAAATTTTGGATCTTTTGGTGTTCATTTTTACCTTTGCTTTACATGAAAATGGTCCATGAGATAGAATTTGTTACAATTAGAGATATAGTGTGTGTTTGGTAGGGATTTTTTGGGGGAAGAATTGATTTTGAATAGTGATATGATGGGAAATGTGTGGTTGAAAAAGAAGATAAGATTATTGATGTGATATAAAATATTATTTTATTGAAAAATGTGTGGTTGATATTTTTTGGGGGAAGAATTGATTTTGAATAGTGATATGATGGGAAATGTGTGGTTGAAAAAGAAGATAAGATTATTGATGTGATAGAAAATATTATTTTATTGAAAAATGTGTGGTTGAAAATAAGAATTGATTTACTGTTGAAAATGAGAATTGGTACCAAACATAGCCATAATTTGTTTTCATTATCAAAATAAATAAATAAGCTGTCTAAAAAACCAATTCCCACTAAAGTGATGGAAATTGATTTACCTCAAAAAGCAAGAAAATGTGGCAAACCAAGAAAAGGTGAAAAACCAATTAACTGAAAAATGTTTCATATCAAACACTCTAAAAAGTGAAAAATTGCAAAAAAAAATTTCATCTTCCAAGAAAAACTAGCCCTATCAAACAAGGCCTATGGGTTTCTTATTGAAAAGAACAAAAATACTTTGTTATTAACTCTGTTGTCGTGGTTATGGTTACCAATCGACGAGTCCTTTATACGCACATCTCATGTTGGTACTTTAGATATCCTTGGTTCTCATAAATACACGCAGGAGAATAAGGGGAAGAAGGGCCCGTATGAGCCACAAGCACGCCACTGCGATGGAGAGGACAAGTGGTTTGTCTTTTTAATAGTAACCGGACGGATACCATCAATCAATAACCAAAACAGTCTCAAGGCCAGAGACATCTGCAAACAAAAAGCTGAGGACCAGCGGTACAATTTTGAATCTACATTCAAATTAAAAAAATTTACCCCAAATACAGGTGACAAACGATTTTCATTAAAGAATATTAAACTTGAAGTTTAGAATAACTTTTAAAGGTGTGCATTCAACATATGATATGAAAGGGAGGGAACAAGAGGAAGAGAGAGAACCTAAAAATAAAATCTGCAACCAAAATGGATAAATAAACCCAAAGTCATCTAATACAAGGAAAACTGCAATAGCTACCAGTCAGAAATGTAATAATCATATGTCCAAGAATGCTACAATAACATCGTTACCCCATTAACTTGTATCCACGGCCGAAAATCCAGATTCAAACAACATGAGCAAGAACGACAGTAAGCTCCAAAGGGCACGCGAAATTACCCTCCTAATGCCCCAGGTTGCCGCAACTCAGCTTCCCCATGTGCGAAGTGGCACCTATCTCCAAAAGTGCAAGATCCTTTCGAAAAATTCTCACAAATTTTGGTCTTGAAGTTGCTCCTTGGGGCAGGACCTCCGATTGGTTTTGCTGGGCCTCCGGGTGGTTTTGCAGGGCCACGGGCAAAGCCTATGCTACTAATCAGGTCTCTTACCATTGCACTTGCCTCCTTAATTTGTTCAAATGTGCCCTCAAGTTCTATGTTCCTAAGATTTGGATCTGTCTCATGATCTCGGATGGCTAACTTGGCTCCTGTTTGCCTACAAATCTGCTTCGAGTTCGCTCCACCCCTCCCTATGATAGCGCTGGCTAGGGAAGCATCCACGCTAATTTTGGCAGTGGCCGAGGCCCCAAAACTCCCAGCAGGCATGGGTGGATCCATTCTACCACCAAATCGGCCAGGGATAGGTCCAACTGCATGAGGATCTTCCTGAGATGCTGCAATTGGCTTGCCGAGTTCCCACTCTCCATGAGCAAAGTGGCATTTATCACCGAATTTGCAGCCCTCTGCAGTGTTGAATTTGTTGCAAATTTTAGTTTTAACAGCCGTTGAAGCAGACCCGTTTGATATAGGCAGAGGTCCTGTTGTCCTAGCCGGAGTAGGCACCAGGCTCATCGTGTGGGCAACAGCATTATAGCCACCAGGAACATAGTGAAGGAAGTGGCAACTCTCACCAAATGGACAACCAGCAGTGCTGCAAGAAGAATAAGCAAGATATTGCAATTAGATTACAAACGTACCATTAGGAAAGAAAATAATATTGAGAATATACCCTGCAGCCTTTAAAGGGCATAAAGGAAACAGAAGTTTTAAAAAAAAAAACAATGTGCATATTTAAAAGGTGATATTAATATATGATCAAACGAACAAGAACCAACTTTGCATAGTTCAATGTCAATGTGTAAAATTGTGAATACCACAAGCAATGGGCTGCCAGATACAGAGAGCCCTCTGGGTCCCAACTGATAATAGAGGGAAAAAAAACGAATCAAGTGAATATATCGTGAAAACAAAATATAGCTACCAATATTGGAGCAGCTTTCGATGAGGTCAATCAAGTTAATGGACAGAGCTTAGAATTTGATCATCTCTTGCTTTCTCTTTTTTTTCATCAGATAAGGGGATTCAATCAAAGTACAAAGGACTATCATTCAGTTAAATTACATCAATGTCAAAGTAGTTTTATCTTATAGATCAGATCAGTTTCTAAACAGTTTGATGAATACAGGCAAGATTTGGTTTACAATTAGATGGATGAGAAACGGAAAAAACCACAAAAAGAAGAATTGGGGAAAAAAATATTTGAAGGTGGAAAAAAATTTGTTTATCTAGAACCTAGAATGAATCAGAAACTGCACAATTATATTAGACTATATAAAATGCTTGAGCCTATCAACATTACTGGAGCATCGTTAAATTATACCTTCCGCCCTAGGTTTCTTACGACTTAGCCCCTGTTTGGTACAAATTAAAATTCTCATTCTCATTATTCCACTCATTTTCAACCACACATTCTTCAATAAAATAATATTTTTCATTTCATCAATAACTTTTCCTTCTTTTTCAACCACACATTCTCCGTCAATCTACTATTCCATAATACATTCTTCTTGGCTCAAACACACCCTTATTTTCAAACAAGGCTATCCTCCCTCCAAGTTTTACATCATTACTTTATTTTAAATTCTTATTCATCATCTCTGTCCAAACTCCTAAAGTTTATGAAAAATTAGATTCTTACGTTAGTTAGTTTGGTTTGAACATACTTCCTTTCAACACTAATTTTTCTTCTCCAAAGCTGAAGTTCCTAAAGCACATTACATCTATCATTCCAATGTCAGTACTCCTAAATAAAAATAGAAATCCAACTTGAAATCTAGCAAAAAGCAGTACAAGGATCACATTGGCAACTGTGTTAAAGGCTAAAGTGGGAATCGAGGTGTTTTGCCTCTGTTAAGCGATGTATCTGAATAAAAACCAATAAAATAATAAAAATTAGAAAAAGAAAATTATACTCATAGTAATCCATAAACTATCTAAATAATCCACAATTTAAAGTGTCAAGAAAATTTAAATTCTAATTCGCAACTAGAAACATAAAATGGACCAATAAAGTAGCAAGTAATAAGTTCACATAGTAGCAATCACATAACAAGACCACTAACCCACAAGCAGAACTAAAGGTCAAGCAAATGAAACAAGTTATAGCTATTGAAAAAAATGACCTTTAAGAGAAAGAAAGTTCTAGAAGGAAATGAAAACATAGAGATGAACAACAAGAAAAGTTGCAAAAAGGTTGCCACTTGACTTTAGAGTTTATCACACTTTAGTTGTAGGACTAGTTCACTTTTTCTCTTCCCAAATCACCAATTTTATATTCCTAATTTTGAAGGTTGGTCGTGCTACAAAAGGCTCAAAAACCCTTGAATTATTTCGGGCTAAAAAATCAGTCTAATAAGTCGAGGTTGTACAAGAAAGCCTGGAGAAGAAAAACCTTGGGAGAACAGCCTAGGGAGACACACTAACTTGCCTGAGACTTGTGCCTTGACGCACGAGCCTCAGTAACTCAAGGCATAAGCCTTGATGAGTGGCCATTGATGCATAATCTTAGAGGATCTTTACAGACGCCACACAGAGCATGAATCAAGTCGTAAGCTGAGGGCACATAATGAAGGCCACAGACAAGGTGCGGCACTCAAGGCATAAGCTTGGATGCTTTTTACTACAGTCATTGGCATAATTAGGAAACCACAAGTTATTACAACAACAGGAACTGCAAGGCTGAAAGAACAACATCAATTAAGTTAATACTGATTACTGACTTCTCATGTAATACTGATATCAGTATTTAGTAACTTCGAACTGCAAAGCTATAATTTGCATTTCAACCAAGCAAGATTGCTTAACAGAATTTCCACGGTCAATATTAAGATAAACATTTCATGCTAGAAAATAAACTTGCAATGGGACACATTGCAATGTCCTTGTTTATGTAAAATTAATAAGGCAGTTAATAGTGATAATTTTGGTATACCATAGGACTTAAAAACATCTTAGTGATATTGATAAGTAGTACCTGAATTAGGGGTGGGCAAAAAACCGACCGACCCGACGAAACCTACCGAACCGACCCAAACCGACCGGTTTGGATCT